GTTGCAGCCGCCACTGTTGTTTGGTGGGCCCGGGCTGGATTTGAACCCGCCACCTTGGGTGTATGTGGCTGGCGCCTTAGCCATTTGAGCCACAGGCGCTGAGCCTGGAGCAGTACTTGTAACCCAAACTCATTACTATGCCTGCAGCAAAACACTAAGCCTGAATATTCATATTAAAATGGATAAACACAATAGTAGATACATCAGTTTAGGTCAGGTTTTGTCACCAAGTAAGTTTGGTGACTGAGAAAAGAGGATAGTACTGAATATAAGAAAAACTGGTAAATGTGTCCAAGACCAAGTGAACACGAAAATAAAAGAGTAATTCTTTGCTTTTACTACTTTCATATGATACACTCAACCTTCAAGACCTAAGATTACATTTCTTTTTGTTGGGTCCAATCAACTTAGTTCTGTTGTTAGTAATGTCTATGTAATCATATTGATAAAAAGGAATCAATATTTATTGGCTGTTCAATATGTGGACTAAATTTTAGAGTTGAAGACACAAATGCTTTGTTGCTCAGGCCCCTAGATCTGGCAGGTCCCGGAACCTACGCTCAAAAAGAGATCAATAAAATAGACTGTATTTTTTTTTCTTGAGACAGAGTCTCACTGTGTCTGCACCCTTTGTAGAGTGCTATGAAGGCACTGCTCACAGCAACCTCAAACTCTTGAACTTAGCGATTCTCTTGCCTCAGCCTCCCAAGTAGCTAGAACTATAGGCACCCACCATAATGCCCTGCTATTTTTTTTTGTTGTTGTTATTGTTGCAGTTTGGCTGGGGCCGGGTTCTAACCCACCACCCTTAGTATATGGGGCCAGCACCCTACTCACTGAGCCACGGGTGCCCTGGCTATTTTTTTGTTGCAGTTGTCATTGTTGTTTAGCAGACCCAGCCCAGGCTCGAACCCTCCAGCCTCAGTATATGTGGCCAGTACCCTAACCACTGAACTACAGGTGCCAAGCCTAGAAGATGGGGTCTTGCTCTTGCTGAGGCTAGTCTCAAACTCCTAAGCTGAAGCAATCCTCCTGCCTTGGCCTCCTAAGAGTGCTAGGATTATAGGCGTGAGCCATCTCGCCCAGCCCCCATGGAGATAACCTTAATATTCACCAGTTGGGTTATAGAACAAATTATGGTACATTCCTATTATGGAAAATCTGGCATCTGTTAAAAACAACAAGGGCAATCTAAACTAAAATGGAAGGATGCCTAAGATAATGAGCACTTACACATTTTTAGAATTCCATTGTCCTGAATACAAATAAGCAAATATCTTACAGAGATTAATTTGAAAACAAACAATGGGGCAAAACCCCACTTACCTGTTGAATTTAACAGCAAGGCCCAGGTCAGCAATACAGCAACTTCCATTTTTCTTGATGAGGATGTTTTTGCTCTTTAGGTCTCGATGAGCAATTGCAGGCTTTCCTTGAGTGCCATAAATTTCTGTGTGAAGGTGGCACAGACCACAGGCAGTTGAATAAGCCAACTTGAGCAGGGCTCTGGTGTCTAGTGTAGCACATTTCAGGAAGTCATAAAGAGATCCATTTTCATGGTAATCAGTAATCAAATAGAGCTGAGTCCAGGAACCTGTACCTTTAATGTCCGCTGCTATGAAACCTGTCCAATTAATGAGGTTACAAGGTTAGTTATCAGAGATGGCTAGGAAGAATGATGAATGCTCATTTGGGATACTGAGAACAACTGAGGTATCATGTTCAGATAATAAAACTTAATTTGCTTAACAAAATCTCTTGAATGTTACCAAAAAATTTTATTTCTACCATTTATAACTATACTTTTGTAATAAACTTGTAAAAATTTTAATAATCATGAAAATGATAATAATATGGCCAAGAAAAAGATCATATATTATATAAATAACCAGGGGAATATTATCAATATAGATGATTCTCTAGTGGAAAAGGCTCTCAATTTCTTTTTTTTTTTTTTTTGACAGAGCCTCAAGCTGTCCCCTGAGTAGAGTGCTGGTGGCATCAAAGCTCACAGCAACCTCCAACTCCTGGGCTCAAGCAAGTCTCCTGTCTCAGCCTCCCAAGTAGCTGGGACCACAGGCGCCCGCCACAACGCCCAGCTATTTTTTGGTTGCAGCCGTCATTGTTGTTTGGTGGGCCCGGGCTGGATTTGAACCTGCCACCTTAGGTGTATGTGGCTGGCGCCTTAGCCACTTGAGCCACAGGCACTGAGCCAAGGCTCTCAATTTCAAATCAAAAAGTAGACACTTTAATAAAGTAAAAAATGTTCAACCAAGAGTTTAGCTCCTAACTAAGCCAACTCCATTTGCCCATCAATGACTCATCACACCTGCCTTTTCAGCCCAGCTCCACAATACTGCTCTTGTTTCCTTTTTCACTGCTCTCCTCCTCTCTCCCTTCAGGAAGAGGTGAGAGAGGAGGATAGAGTGAGTGCTCTATTGAGTTCGATAGGGTCCCCTCAAATTTCATGTCCATCTGGAACCTATAAATTTCTTTACTTGGAAAAAGGGTCTTTGCAGATGTAATCAAGTTATGATGAAGTTCTACAGGATTAGGGTGGGCACCAATTCCCCTAATTCAATCACTGGTGTCCTTTTACGATGGAAATGTGGACACAGGCACATAGGGGAGAAGCCCATATGCTGTCAGAAACAGAGACTGGAGTGTCCTCTATAAGCCAGGAGACACTCAAGAGTCCTGGCAACCACCAAGAACAAGAGAGGTGAGAGGCTTGGCGCCTGTAGCTCAAGTGGCTAAGGCACCAGCCACATACACCAGAGCTGGCAGGTTTTAATCCAGCCCACGTCTGCCAAACAGCAATGACAACTACAACCAAAAAAATGGCTGGGCATTGTGGCAGGTGCCTGAGGTCCCAGCTACTTGGGAGGCTGAGGCAAGAGAATCACTTAAGCCCAGGAGTTGGACATTGCTGTGAACTGTGATGCCTAAACACTCTACCCAGGGTGACAACTTGAGGTTTTGTCTCAAAACAACAACAACAAGAAGAAGAGAGGTGAGGAAGGACCCTCCCTTACAGCCTTCAAAGAAAGCATGGCCCTGCCAACACCTTGGTTTTAAACTTCCAGCCTTCAAAACATTTCTGCTGTTCTAAGCCACCCACTACATGATAATTGGTATAGCAACCCTGGGAAACTAATATAAGAGCCTACTATTTACTGGCAAGGTGCTATGCATTCTGCAAGTGAAAGGTAGGAAAATAGCTGCTGAAAAGAAAATAAAACTCAAGGTACCGCTCAGCACCTGTGGCTCAAGTGGCTAAGGCGCCAGCCACATACACCTGAGGTGGCAGGTTAGAATCCAGCCCTGGCCCACCAAACAACAATGACGGCTGCAACCAAAAAATAGCCAGGTGTTGTGGCGGGC